ATCCCAGATAGAATATCATGGTCAAGCAGAACATTAGAGCAAATACCCTTAGAAATTTATTGTTACACGGATTGCTCTAAACTCGGAAGACATATACCACCGTTTACCTAATCACTATACTAGCTTCCAGGCAGAAGTCCGAGCAATAAAAAAAAGAGTAAATTAAACTAGAATGTATATGGCGCCTACAGCGATTAACATATTTACCGACAGCCAGAAGGTAATTAGGGCGATATCAGATGATAAAATTAAATCTAAGACCGTATTGGATTGTAAGAAAGCTCCAACCTAATACTCTCCCAGAGTTAAGGTTTACATCATATGGATACTAGGCCACTCGGGAGTAGTCGGCAACGAAAAAGCGAATGTAATAGCTTTAAAGGGAAGGGATCTGGAGGTAGTTATACTACCGAACCCAAAAATATTTGACACAACTAAGCCAGAATTAAAAATATGAGAATCCTATAAGGTTTCTTAGAATATTGAAACAAAGATCCTTTGGAATGACCTTAACTAGAGCCTTCTCAAAATGAGGAAGTGTAAGGTTACACACACGGGCACAGCCATACAAAATTGGCCCTGCGTATTTATACGAATGTAGAGCATGTATAGAGGACAGTGAAACTCTGGAGCACTTTCTATGCCAAAGTCAGGCTTTCGCCGAAATTAGATTCAAATATCTTGGGAGTAATATTATCCCGGATATAACATCCCTCACGAACACTGATTGGAAATTTGCTAGGAATTACGTCCAGGAAACCGAGTTTCTGAACATCGAACAATAATACATTCAGTGAATACTATAAAAGGTGGGAACATCCTAGAGAAGAGTTAAGAAGAAATGCACAATAAACGGATAAACATGGTTACCCAAAGTAATGTTCAATGTTCATCTCTCAATTCTGATTTCCTTAGGTTGTCTACCACTAACAATAATGGAATAAAAGATTCAATTGTATTAGCCAATACGAGAAGAGAACCCGTAATAGGCAAGTTCAGAGATTTCATAATACTTAACTGGAACTTAACTAAAATTTAGGACAATCTGTACAATAGTTGTGGTATCTTTGTCTTACTAACTACAGTGCACAGTGACGTGTAATCACTGATTGCAGTTGCATTTGTTTTTCACGTCCTCATAAAATATTACAGATTTCATGAGGACTCTGTGTGCTTTCATATTCAGAATATCCAGGGGGCAGCATAGTTTAATTCATGCATGATTCCAATGACAAACTTCAAGATTGTTCTCAGAAGCGACAGTATTTTATTCACGATTCGACCACCTTAACAATTATTTTCCGTTGCTTTTGGTACAGAATTAGACATTATCTCAAGAGGAAAAAGAAGAGTCTAGAGCAATATCTCTAGATATATTCTTAATGAAAGCATGTCACGAATAAGCGTTCCATATAATCTCAATATACCTTTTCCCACTAGCACTCATAAAAGAGATACTTACTGGACAGTCTACTATTGAAAGCATTTCTACCAACTCCATTCAGTACAATATCTTCTTCACTATACAAGAGCACATAATAAGATATGTAGGTATTTCGAAATAAACCACGATCATGATCCGAGTTTTCATAAATTAACATATCAGGAGATTACCTCATGATTTTCAAAATTGCCCAAATAGTGAGTAAATATAATTCAGAATAATGTGCTTGTAAAATTGTATAATAAACATACACGATCGACCATATGATAGCCTATAGGCTATCTAGTGTATACACTAGTTATAAATATATTTTAAAAATTATATATTTTTTATAAAAAAAAAACTTTATGTTAAATTTTACCTTTATTCCTATGTACTAGGAATCTAATTCAAATTATATTGAAATTTTCTTTTTAATCATTCCAAATAAATATCTCAAGAAATTAAAAACAAACTCAATTAGTATGTATGTATGTAAACTATTAAGTATTGTACTTAAGTAAAATGTGAATGAAATAAATCTTATATTTGTATGTACAATGTACAGAAATATTTACGAGTACCACGTAAAATATTTAATTTAATTTTGTATGACTATATACAACAACTATTTACTATCAAATACCACGGGGCAAATGCTTAGATATTTTACATGCAATCAAACACAAAATTACAATTGTAAATCAAACGTTTGGGACAAATAGTAAAAAAGAGAAATATGCACCTTAAAGCTTCTCCAAATATATCATAGAATATAGAAATACATACATACTTATTTATAGACCTCATTTTCAAGAAGGTTAATAAAACAAGTTGTTTATTTGCTGTTGCCGTTGTCGTTGCAGCTGATATTGCTGCTTTTTTGCTGCTGTTGGCAAGTAAACAAATACTTAAAATATACACAATATTTTGTATTGATATCTACGATTTTTTTTTCAGAAAATACAGCAAAATATTTAACAAACAATTGCAATTTTCCTAATATTGAATTTATTAGTAACAAATGTTAATGAATTTAGTCTGAGACGACTTCTTGAATACCCTAAAAAAGATCACAAAGAGCTTGATGAAGAAACAAGGTTTGCATTTAACCTATCGAAATATTGCTTTTATGATCTAAAATGGAAAGATCCTTATGAAATTTGACTGAGAAATTTTAATTCAAATAAGATTTGTTTCTGTCAAATTTAATTTCACTTGTATTTTAAAGACAGATATTAGCGTTAGAGTAATTTTTTAAGGGGACCTTATATGGGACCTATTTTCCTATTTATATACCAAACAAACTCCATCAATTAAAACTATTAATACAGACGTCTCATTGCTCGAACGTCTTATAATCTAATATATAATCTAAATGGACCCAGATATACATATATACCTTTATGGGAACTATATTTCGATGTGTTACAAAGGGAATGACAAGAACCCATTATCTTTAGAGAGAATTGTTATGTCTATATTCAGCCTTACAATTGAAAAACTCAATTGTGCCCCACTATGGCCTGACTACGCCGAAAAACATAACAAAATACCATTATGATTTAAATCGGAACATGGATTATAGATTCCTAAATGATCCACTGTCTCTCCAAACTAAAAGAGGTTAGCTTTAAGTTTTCGCTTTATTAGTATTGCAAGGAGGTCTAGGTGAAATCGTGGACTATTTGCAATACCTAACATTTATGATTTATAAATTTGTGAATTTTAAATTGCATCCTTCTAGTTCCCCTTTCGTAAGCAACAACGGACAGACGGACATAGTTAGATCGTCTTTCGATCATAGTAAGTACTTACCACAGTGTCATACATGGTATGTCTGGAAGGAACTATAGGCTACCTTTTGTTTTGGAAATTCAAGTAGGTGAGGTGCCACGCCCACATACATAATAAGTATTAAGCATATCTCATAGGGTCCCCAAATTTTGTATGAACAACTTTGACATCCATATGAACCCATGTTGACCAAATAGGCAGTACTTCTGAAAAAGTATAACAACTAAAGTTCTCAAATTTTTTGGGAGCTACTTTAGTATCGACATGAATATTTAGGACAAAAAATTGTCGGATTAGCGATAGGGGGCGTGGCACCTTCCATAGAAATTACATACTAAAATTCGTTTATCTGGGAAACTATTGGAGTTAGAATCTTAAAATTTTGCGCGAAGACCTTTAACATCTATGTGAATATTTGGAAGATATTTGGGCGGACTTTCATAAGGGGGACTTATCACCTCCCTTATGAATCAAATACAAAAATTTGTTTTTATGGGAAACTATTGGAGCTACAATCTTCAAATATTGTAAGAAAAACTTTAACATCCATGTGAACATTTGGTAGAAAAAGGGCGGACTATAATTAGGGAGAGTTGGCTCCTTCCATATGAATTAAGTAGAAAAATTCGTATATCTGGGAAAACTGTTATGTAACAAAGCACACAGGGTATAGTAATACAAAATCTCATTTAAATTTTGTTTCCGGTATTGTGTTCAAATTCGATATAAATAAAAATAATAACCATATTCATAACTCAAAAATATTGTGAGAATTGATCTCTGAATCACTGCTGTGGAGCATGTCCGAATTCTAAATATGTATGTTTATTTTAAACTATATCCACAATGCAACAAGTGTCCAAATTTGGTTTAATAGGAAATGCATAACATTGAAACATAATTAGAAATTCACTAATATTTTTAAACAAACATATTTTAAATTCTCTTATTTTGATTAAAACCATTTAAAAGAACTCACACTTTTAAGTACATAATAACCAATGTTTACACCTACGAATGTCTCAAAGCGAAAAAGTCAAGGTATTAAATTTAATTAATTAAAAAAAGCTGTTAAGTTTTTCCTGTTTCTTTAAAAAAAATAATAAAAACAAATAAACTCTATTTTACGTCACTAGTGTGTCAATTCAAAACACTTGAATTTTTCTGGTTTTAGACATGTCTAGTTGCCATTGATACGATATGGCCTACATTTGATTCTATTCAAATAAAAGTTGAAAGTAGAGAGCATTTGTTTTTTGCGTGGGCTTAAGTGGGTGAACTTAAGCGGCCTTGAAAAATTTTGCAAAATACGTAATAATTTGATTAACATTAATATAAAAGAAATTATCTCTGGGCCCAGAGGCCCAATTCTTATCGAAATTGTATATTCGTTAAATAAATTAAGAAAAAATGTTTTAAATTTCTCATTTGATATCGAATTTCATCATCTCATAATGAAATATAACGAACAATTTTACTGGATCAAGTATTATCTATAGTGTAGGGTATCTAAAAAATCATATTGTTTCGTTATTTACAAAGCACTCTATGTTTATAGTTTTTAAAAAAGTGCATTTATTGCAAAAGAAAATATTTATAAAAATTATAAAACTGTAAATATAAACGATGAACACATCAGAGGACTACGATTGTCAGAATTAAAAATACAAATTTTAAAAATATTTAAATTCATTACTATAGATAGATATTTTTAATTGCTATGCTTAATGCAGCTCTTATATCTATCAGATACTTCGTACACCACTAGATCGGTACTTACTGTATAAAGAAAATCCCATAGGAGTGCAAAAACTTTCAATGTTTTCGTTGAACAAGCCATTTTTTTTCTTTTGTTGTTGTTGCTTTATTGATAAAAATTAACTGTAATATAAATAAATTTTTGTTTTTAACACAAATTTTTACACAAAATTTATAAATATTAAATGAAATATTTAAATGCTTTTCGTTTTCACTTAATGTGTGAAAATTATAAATTTTATGGCAAAATTTTCTTTTTGCTATTTTTTTGTTATTTACAAAAAATATTTGATTTTTTCACCTATTTTCTTTATTTTATTTTTTTCGTTACGAGTTTGAGTTTTATTATTTTTTGCGCGCCACACACTTTGAAAATGCCGAGTTTATTGTTGAACTGTGCGTGTTTTCTTTTGTCGTTTTGTTCAAGCAAATTTTAAAAATAATCTCAACCGTTCTTTTTCTTGGCCGTTTTTTTTATTGTTTTTAGTTGTATTTTCCTAAATGTTTATTTAATTTTTTCTTACTCTTCTTTCTTAATTTTTAACCGTAACGTTCGCCGCATGCAAATAAACTAAAAAAAGTTAATCGTTTGTATTTGTTTTGATTTTCTTGTGGCGATTTAGTTTTGCGTTAAAACAAGCTCGTTGCTGTGTGGGAACGCAATGGAATGGAACTTAAACTTATCAAAGTTTAACAATGTGAAGCTTTTAATTGAAACAAATAAATCTATTTGTTAATGGCAACACTTGGCAAGAGCTTTTCTAACGACCGTTAAAACGGAAATATAGTTTGATTTTCATTTATAGTTGAAATCAGTGTTGCCAATAGTAGGGAAAAATTAACTTTTGTAGTGTATTTGTTTGTATTTTTGATACCATTTGTAATTTTAAACAAGTGAGAGAGTATAGCCGGTTGTGGCCGACCCGATTTATTGATGAAAACTGATTTTAAGAGGCTATATATGTATATATGGGGGATAGGGTCAAATATGAACCGATCCTAACAAAAATTAGTATAGGTATTTTTGTTGGCATTGAAGGAATTTCATCGAAATAAAGTGTTCATAAGAAATTTAACGACGTTCAAGCTTTTTCAGAGGGGGTCGAAATAAAACATATGTATGTATGTAGTTGTACATTTTTGTAGGGATATTGGTATATTAGGCATAATTATGAGCTCCAAAGCCCAATATAGGGAGTCCTGTTGTATGGGGACTAGGTGAAATAATAGGTGGCGTGTCATAATGTCCAGTGTCATAATGTCCATAGTCTTTATGACACACCTTAACTTTTTAAAATGTCATAATGTCCATGGACATTATGGCACTTTTAAAACAGAAATGTATTGGAAAATTTATTTAGAATTTAAGAAAGGGACACACTTAAAGAATTGCTCCTAAATTTGGTTTATGTTGCATTTTGGATTCCTTTTAAAAAGTTTCCTGGATAGCCGGCCTTCGGCCGGACGCAGGGATTTCAAACTCTGGGGAATTTCGAATACCGGCTTCGCTAAAATAAGCCTTTTTTGCTAAATGGACTCTTTGAAATCCATGGACTTTCTGTCGCATTGCTCTTGGACATTGTGAAACTTTTGAAATTGTCATTATGTCCATGGACATTATGACTCAATTTAGTGTGTCATAAGGTCTATGGACATTATGACACACCACCGAAATAATATACCGATATCAATCAAACCTTATAGGGTTTGTGTACCAAAATGTGTTTCTGTAAAAGAAAGAATACAGGGACTTTTTTGGGAAAAACCCTAAAAAATATGTCACTTTTTACATGTTGCAACTTTGAATGCGTCTAACTAAACACAGATCCGGAAAATTAAAGAATAAAAAAATTTAAACCTAAATATCTCTTAAAGCAAAAGAAATAACCCAGACATGTAAGCGTATTTTTTATAAACCTTCTCAAGGAGTAGTTATATTTTACTTCAGCTCATTCAGATCATAAATTGATTTTTGCTGATTTTTTAAAAAATTAATACCCGAGGTGATCAACTTTGAGGGTCTACGCACTGGCCACCATTCCGCCCTCAATCACCTACAACTGTCAATTAACTCGAAAACACCTTAGCTACAAACATGTAAAGTTTCACTGCGATATATCCAATAGCTTCAGAGATACCGAATTATGTCCAAAAATAAAAGTTTATAAACCACTGTGCATTGATACGAAAGTTTATGTATTATTTCGAAACGCTAAAAATCCGTTACCAAAATCTGCCAGATATTATATATTTCGTCACAAATCTACTTTTATTAGATATATTTAATATAAAATGTTTGGAAGTACATACTTAGAATCATAAATATTTGTACGAACAAATGGCACGAAGTCGCATCAAAAACGAACGGTTTCGATTGAGTGAGTGAGTGCGACTCTTTTTAATATAATGTTAAGTGACATAATCCGAGCATTATTTGTGCTTCTTGTTTATTCAAAATATTTAAAAATTCATTGCAAATACAAAAAAAAAGAAATATTTAAAAAATACACAAAAAGATAAGATTATTATGTTTTTTCGAATTTTATTTAAAAACATTTATATTATGCGATATTTCATCGATATGTGTATATATGTATGTACATTAGGGATATAACTATTAACATTTTTTGCAAATATGCAAGTTGGCATAGCATTCGCATTAAAAACTATGCGAAAATACGTTATAATTTTTCAGCGGTTATTAAAAAAGTTCACGCACCAAATATCTGTCCGTCTGTGTTTTAAAATCAGTTTTTTGAAGGCTCTATATATGTATATTCGGAATCCGAGTCTTAAATAATTCAATTAAATATGCTTTTAAGTATTTAGCTGTTTAAAAGCTGTAAAATCGGTCCATAAGAAACGGAGATATGGTCGAAACAAATATCAACAAATTATTTTTTATGAACTTTTTAACTAAAGGGTGTAAAATAGTAAATTTACGTAAAAGTCGAAAAATCCTGAGATATAGGCATTGGCGGTTAAAACTGCCTATAAATATTTAAATCGCCAAATTAGTTATATCCCTAATGTACATATATATAAATATTTAATCATTTGGGCTTGTTCCAGTATATGGATTGTGTTCCGAATGGTTTTGCGCATTTAAAATATAATTATAAGAAATCAAAACATTTGACTGAGGAAATGCAAAACACCGAAAACACGTTTCTAGACCTCATTTCACTTTCAATGAAAAATATAACAGCTTTTTTATTTCGCTCAAAATTGACTATCGTTACCGTTAAAATACATACTCAGCAGAAATACCGTTACCTAAATGAGTGCAACTAGCTTTCCCACAAAAATACCGTAACGAAAAAATGTAAATAAAGTTAATCTAACACATTCACTTTTACGTAATGGTAAGAGCTTTCAGCGTACCAATTTTTTTTAATCGAATGCTAAATCAAATGCACATTAAGGATTAAAACATAAATACCTCTATTTTTAAAACTGAAGGAAACCAACAAATATGTATTTAATAAAATGTTATCACTATATTTTACAAGTTCTCCAAAGCACTCTTAATAACTAAATAAACCAATTATTTGTTTTTAACACAATACTGAGTAATAATATTGTAAATAAATATACAAAAAATGTACATACATCGTTATCAATGGGTGGGGATTTGTCATTAAAAAACAATCCAAATTGTGATTTTTGTACCATTTGACATTATGCACTGTTATCACTTTTAAATATAGCTGGACACAAAATCCCCCGAAAAATTTATATAATTCCAATAATATCCGTTATAAAAAAAATAAAATAGAACCTTTCGAATAGGACTTTAGGTTAGGTTGATAGGAGGATGTATACTACATCAAAACCGAAGAAATACACCTAGGCCACTATCGGGCCTGTTGTGCGCTCCTTTTCATAAAAAAAATTTCACTGAATGTATTATTGTTCAATGTTCAAAAACTCAGTTTCCTGAACGTAAATCCTAAGAATCTTCCAATCAGTGTTAGTCAGGAATGTTATTTCCGGAATAACATCACTTCCGAGATACTTGCATCTAACTTCGACGAATGCCTGTCAATGGCAAAGAAAGTGCTCCAGAGTTTCACTGTCCTCTCTACATGCTTTTCATTCGTCTGAATCCGCACGTCCAATTTTGTATAGATGTGCTCGTTATCCTGTGTGTCCTCTCAGAATACGTACTATCATACTAACTTCAGACTTGCTCATTTTGAGAAGATTTCTCGTGTTGCTCTCATCAGCTTTTGTTGCGTCGAAAGGATTTGCGTTCGTCAGGTTAACCACCTCCCTTTAAAGCTATTACATTCGCCCTTTCTTTGCAGACTACTCCCGAGTGGCCTGGTACCCATATGATGTACATCTTACCCCTCGGAGAGTATTCAGTTAAAGCTTTCTTACAATCCAATGCGGTCTTCGATTTAATCCTATCACGTGATATCGCCCTAATTGCCTTCTGGCTGTCGGTAAATATATTAAGGGCGCCATATCAAATTTACGCATTCGATTATTGCTCGGACTTCTGTCTGGAAGCTTGTGTTATGATTAGGTAAACGGTGGTATATTTCTGTTTCTGGGTCTTCAATATAGAACGCCAGCCCCATTTTGTCCCTCAATTTAGAGCCATCCGTGTAACAACGGATTCCTACTGATATTTGCTCTAATGCTCCGCTTGATCAAGACATTCTATCTGCAATCAGCGTTTCAAAGTTTCCGACATATTCTGTGTCTGGTATGCGATCAGGCACGTCCGATGATTGTGTATAATTTCCCAATATGTCCAGTATACATTGATGACATGTCCTATAACCGTAAAGAGCTGTTCGGCTGTAAGTGCCGCCACATATCTTAAATATGTTTCAATGGATGGAATATCTATCAACGTTTCCAGAGCCTTGGTTGAAGTAGTACACATGGTACCTCTTATAACCAAGCAGCATGTACGCTGAACTCCCTGTAGTAGTTTGATATGACACTTTTTATCCAAAGCAGTCGACCAGATTATTGAAGCATAAGCTAGATTTGGTCTAATTACACTTTTATAAAGCCAATTTGTCATAGTAGGACTAAGACCCCATTTCATGCATATAGCTCTCCTACATTACGCCCAGCGCCGATGTGCCTTGTTGATCCTATCCTCTATGTTGTGTCTCCATTTTAATTTCCGGTCAAGGATTACACTTAAGTACTTAACTTTGTCTGTCACCAGTATCTTATTGTCCAGGAAGCAATGTTCAGTATATGTAGAAATTTTTGTCTTTCTTTTGAAATGGCAGATTTCCGTCTTCGCCGGGTTAACATTGAGGTCTCTCGGTTGAGCCCAGCTCAAGGCCGTATTCAGAGACTTCTCAACTCTTCTACACAAGTAATTTGGATCCTTTCCCTTTTAAAGTATCCTTTATCAGTTAGGGTCCTTAGGAGGCTATTAATCGTGGTAACCCAGAGTAAAGGACACAAAATGCCACCCTGTGGTATACCGCTAGATAACTTTTTCCTTATCCATCTGTTTCTTAGCTGGTCTAGGGATTGGATAAGAGTATCAGTGTGCACGTTATTGAAGGCGCTTCGATGTCAATACATACCGCCAGTGTATACAGTTTGCTATCGAAGGATTCACCTATGTAGTGGACAACTTCGTTTAAAGCGATTTTAACCGATCGTCCCTTTACATAAGCATGCTGCTTAAATTTTACGTCTTTGTCTGGTATACTGCTTTTAACCATACTATCGACTATCCGTTCCAAGGTTTTAAGTAGGAATGTAGGAAGACTTATCGGTCGATAGGACTTAGGTGTCGCATAGCTAGGTTCTCCTGGTTTGTGTATAAATATTACCCTTGCATCCTGCCATTTAACTGGGGTATATGTTAATTTCAAGCATGCAGTGAATATCTTTGACAGATGTACGGAAACCAGTTCCGCCTCCATCTGCAAAAGTGCCGGAAAATGCCATCCGGCCATGCAGCTTTATAGGGAGCAAAGCTCTTGTTTGCGCCTTTAACCATGTGAGATGTAATAACTATTTCAGTATTACACTCCCCTTGGGGCCTCCGGTAGCTTAGTGGTTAGTGTTCTAGTCTGGTAGACCGGAGGTGGTGGGTTCGATTCCCACCTGAGGTACTGGTTAAGGAGCGCACAACAGGCTCAATAGAGGTCTAGGTGTATTTCTTCGGATTCGATGTATATATGTACATCCTCCTTTCAAACTAACTAACTAACTAGGCTCCTCTTCCTCCAATATCGGTTCATCTATGTTATTCGACATACCGGGTGGGAAATGAGAGTCCATTAGGAGTTTCATGGTCTCCTCCATATCCTCCAGCCTCCTGCCCGCGTCATGAATCTCCTTTGGCATAGTATAAAGTAGCAAGGTTTAAAGAGATAAACTACAATTTTAACGTTAAAACGCAAACCACAAACTGTTGTGTGAAAAAACCTAAGCATACAAATAAATATGTATGTATGTATGTATGCCTAAAAAACTATAAAAATGTAATCTAATTAAACTAATAAAGAAATAAAGATCTCTGTTGGAGACAAAAACAGAAACAATCTCTTAAAGACATAAATATCCAGTAAACACTTACTTACCTTGGTATACATTAAGCGAGTGAAATTAACCAAAATTAAACCAAACGAATTCAATTCGTTAACAGTTTCTTATGTTTTATTTAATAAATTACATTTATGTTTTTTTATAAATACCTTTAATAAATATATTAAAAACGGACAGATTTTTAAGATTAAATAACTATTAAAATTTAGGTTTAAAATGTTTTATTAAATACAAAAAGGTGACCATATAAAAATATAAATACATTACTGTAGGCACCGCTTACAGGCAATAATTCTAAATGTATTTCGTTTATTAATAATTCACAGGTTCAAACAATCTTAAATAAATATTTCTTTGAGTTTTTATTTTGTTAGACTATAATAAAGGACTACTGCATTAATTGTTCAATGTTTTTTATTTTAAATTTTGTCATTTGTTAAATTACCAATAAAATTTAAAACAAGTTCGGCTATGCCGAATCTTAAATACCCTCCACCAGCATGCTACTTTTTATTAAAACCCATTTAACTATCTAATTTTTAGATAACTTGGCAAAATTTTTGTTTCCGTATTGAGGCTACTAACATTTATGCATATGTCAAACTAATTTTAAATAGGTCCAGAAAAATTTATATTAAAAGGCCAGTTCGAACACATTTTAATAGAATGATTTATCTATACACAGAACATATTCATTTCGAATTTTATGCGGATATAATCATTAAATAACGAATTAAGTGGTATTAAGTGATTTTCAGAAGTATACCTTATATGGGAGCTAAGACAACTTATGGTACGATCCGGCAAAAAATCCCGTAGAATGATTTATATATACAAAATACACATTTATGTAGAATTTTATCCCGATAACTTTGATTGTCAATGTGCATTTAAGTAATTTTCGGAAAAAATCCCTATATGGGAGTTGTGACCAATTATCGACCGATAAGGAAAAAATTTCGTAAAATGATTTATATGCCAAAAAAAATGAAGTCTAATTTCACTGCAATAGATTTATTAATTAATGAAATATGTGCGTTTAGGTGATTTTCGGAAGTGGACCCAATATGTATAGGAGCTACGACCAATTACTGGCCTACCCGGAAAAATTTCGTAGATTGATTCATATGTACACAAAACATATTTGCGTCGAATTTTATTAAGATATCTTTATTTGATAATGAAATATGTGCGTTTAAGTGATTTTTTTTTGAAGTGGACCTTATATAGGAGCTATTATCATATATGGACCGATCCGGAAAAAATTTGGTAGAATGATTCATATGCTCACAAAACATATTCAAGTCGTACTTTATATCGATAGCTTTACTATTCAAAGAAATATATGCGTTTAAGTGATTTTCGTAAATGGACCTTATATGGGAGGCTATCCGGAAAAAAATTAATAAAGTCATCTACAAAAAAACCGTCATCTACAAAAAAACACATTTGTGTCGAAGATAGCTTTATTTGACAATGAAATATGTGCTTTTAAATGATTTTCGGAAGTGGGCCATATATGGGACCTATGACCAATAATGGACCGATCCGTAAAATTTGGTAGAATGATTTGTATGTACACAAAACATATTCAACTAGAATTTTATCACAATAGCTTTATTTATCAATGAAATATGTGCGTTTAGGTGATTTTAGGAAGTTGACCTTATATGGGAGCTATGACCAATTGTGGACCGACTGAGATCTACGTTGATAGTATGATTTCTGTTCATATTATATTTGCATGTACAAAATTTTGTGTTGATACCGATATATTTGAGGGAGTTATTATTGATAAACTAATTTCCGGAAATATATACCTTTGTATGGGGACTATTGGAAATATTGGATCGATTGTAAAGTTTTTAAACATAATTGATCACTGCCCTGAAAAAATAATGTGTGACAAAATTCATCGAAATATCTTTGGTAGTTTCTGAGAAAACTTCAAAATAATTAGGAATAAAACGTAATCTTTTTCGAGGTAGTCTGAAATTTTTACTCATAACTTTTTACGTCGTGAGCCGAACTGCTTAGGATAATAATATATATTTTGGGTGAATTTGGTTGATTTCCTTTGCTTAATTTTAACGTGAGCGTGTTTTACACAGACGGACAAACGGACATAGCTAAATTGACTCAGAATATCATAAGGACCCAGAATATATGTATATACTTTGTTGAGTCTTAGATGATTATTTCTTGGTGTTACACACGGAACGACAAATTTATATATACCACTGATGGTGGTGGAGGGTATAAAAAAAGCAACCATTTTTACTTAAAAACCGTCATCTACAAACAATCGGGGCCCCAATGGCTTTTGTATACGTTTGCCTTCAAACCTACATACAATCGATCATCTATTTAATACTCTCACTTGAGCGATACTGGCGAGGTTCTGTCATTATAGAGTTGTAAAATACTCAAACTACATACATTTCTTCGGGTATGTAGAGTTAAAAAATTGTGTATATAATAAATGAACATAATTTTTCCGGTAATTTCCCTGCATTTTAAATTAATATTTTTCTTGTATGTATTTGCCGATGACTGTTTTAAAACTAATAAGAGTAAAATTTAATAGTAAGTACGCCTACGATCGTTGCGAATACTATTGCAGAGACAGCATGAAATGAATGTTATTATCAACTGAAAAGATAAAATAAAAAATATATATTAAAAATTTTTATATTTAAACTATATCATCATTATCTTCTATAGATATAAAATTCTAGCGTAACTGACTGACTAACTGATTCATTATCGCACAGCCTAAATGGTTGAAGCTAAAGAGCTGAAATAGATCCACTAAGACGGGATTTTTGGAAATTGGAATGTTCCACTACGATTTTGATACTTTTTGGAATGGAATTCTTATTTCGATAATGGTGAGGAAAAAAGTACCAAAAGGGAGTAAAAACGGCAAATTTGATTTCATTCAAACAAAATGAGCAAGTGATATTTTTGGTACTTTTTTCATTATCCAACTGGAACTTTTACAGTTTTCTATTGAAATTAAGCATGTTGAGTCCGGATTAATTGAGAACCATTGAATCTATAACAGTTTTTTACAATTTTAATATGAACACCATATGATGTAGCAACTCACTTCAATTTGCAGGTAAAAATTTAAATTAGTTGGTAGAAAATTTAAAAAGTTGGTGAAAACCCTAAATTTATCCTCAAAAAAGCTAACCTGACAACACTGGTTGGTGTACAGAAGCTTGACCGCTGTACTTTCACACTCACCTCTAAACCTATTAAAACCCAAGCAACAATATTAAAGACATTTAGTAAATTTGTCCAATATTGATCAAACTTAATACGACAGCCTGTCTCGATGAGATTTTCTGGTATTGAGGAGTCGTTATTTTCGAAACAGCTATTTGGAGGTAAACGTCCATTTACAATATAATCTTGAGGACTGGCACGACCGCAACACTTAAACTGGAAAACAAAATATAATAATTTCGATAGGTATTAATGAAAAAAAAAAATATTTTTATATTTACCCATGATTCATAGTGTGACATAGCACCGGGATTTTTAATCTCATCGTCCCATGTATTATCTAAAGTATTCGATAAGTTTGAGGAAATGCTTTCTTTACTTTTAGTTAAAAGAAACGTAACCACTACTTGTGCAAGTATGACCACAATCATCAGTATAATGAACTGGAAAAAATAATTAATAAATATAAATCAATAAATTATATAATTTTATTAAACAGATGTTTAAGAATAAAAATATATATTACAATTTATTAATATATTTTATAACTCACCGTTATAGTACAACAAACATTTTCTCTAGCGGCTCCAATGGTTAGGAAAAGTAAAACCACAATCACTGAAATCCCGACTCCCATATAAGCATATGATGCTATTGAGGCCATTTCATCTGTTTCGTACGTTAAGATTACATATATACCGAATCCAATTAATACTGCTGCCAATAGCTATAGTAATTAATAATAAAAATAGAATTTATTTTAGTAAATATGTAATTGAATTATGTTTTATAATAAAAATCTTAAGATAAAACTAATGACACATAATAATAAATAACAATTTTGCAGAAACTAATATAGGAATTCTTACAAAGTTTTTCTTAGATCGAAGTCTACCAGGTAGGTAATCAAAAGACATACGAACTGAAGGTCGGGCGGATGTAAGTAAATCGACTCACGAAGTCATTCTGAGTCGATCGATATAATTTAAAGTGGATGTAGGGTATAAATATACTGTGTTTTTATTCACTTTTCCACGTGTAAAAGCGCTTTTCGATAAATGTTACAAGGTGTAATAATGGCTAGAACGTGTTTGGAAGTAATTTAAAATAATTTGAATTGTTATTAACAAAAATTTGTTGGAAATGAAATTGCTAATAATTTTTAAATTATAATTAACTTGGCCCTGCCCGACTATAAGTTCTTACTTGTTTACTACTGGTATTTTCATGTATACTACATACATATGTACATAAGTTCTAAGTATTGAACAGTTATTAAATGTAACACCCATTGGTTACTACTCCATAATTCACTTTTCATTTCATAATCTTTTCAAGAAATTTACTAAACTTTATCATTGTAATTAAAATGTAATTAATTTTTTTAATATATTAATAATTCTATTTGTGTGTAATTTTAAAGAATGGAACATTTGATTAGATTATTGTATAATAAATATATACATATGTACATATTTTGTATAATATTTAGTAACCACATTTCTATGGTATCAGATATTGCGGTTAGCAAAATTTTACGCTTTGAAATGAGTTTATAATTTTTATTTGTTAACCAACAAGCACTTTTACAAATCGGTTATACAGATCAGAATATCAATTTATTGCATTGTAATGTGTAGAAAGTCATATCTTTACTGTTCCCAAGCCTCTTTTACATTGAAAAATTAAAAAACAAATATGTAATAAAATTACTAGTTCCGAACTGGCACCTTATACTGCGAAAAATACCGAATCCAGAGATAGCTTCACATTAAAACAATATGATCAGTTAATTTTTTTATTAGTTTATAGCTATCTAAACTTCTTTGGACAATTTTTGCTAGGACCAATGAAAAGTTACACTCATTTGAAAAAACCCTGTATGACCAAAATGCCCAAATTTAACCCCCTCTAACTTCGGCAAATTTCATCCGAATCGATTTTGAGTTGGTTCACTTGACACGAAATTGCCCATAAACTTAAATTGAAAAACAGCTGTTAGATTATTTTAACCCTAAACACCATAAGTGTTAATCAATATGTAGGGATAGATATAAACATATGGTTTGGAATAATTAATTTTGTGTCTATATATAGGCACTTCCATGAAAACGTAAACCACGTCAAATATGGGCCGATCAACATAAAATAAATTCAGAATACTAGTTCTTATAAGTTTATTTTTCCGAAATTCAACTTTGTATGAGACCTAGGATTAAATGGGGTCCGATCATTAAGAAAATTGGTAGTGTTCTTAAGGCTTATATAGATGTTTGAAGTAAGAGTATTATGATTATTAGCTATAAAGGGATATTTGCGGGTCCGGTAGTATGGTGTCTAGTTGTAATAATGAAGCGATTTTAAATAATTTTAACAGTCTTTGGTTTGTTGCAACAAAATATCATAGTCCAAATTCTATGTAACGTATAAATAATTTCGTGCCTATTTCTACATACAAATAATATTTGTATTATATATTTCTTATATATAGTTTTTCCGCTACTTAAATTTGTTTCCCATACACAATTTACATATATTCAATCAATCAAATATTAATATTTCATAGCCAACTTACAACACATTCAATCGAACATGTTGCTTTCATACATGGCATTGCTTATAACAATAGAATTCCCACTTAGTTTATTTACAAATTAGTATAAAGAGATCAGGTTGTGTTACATTCAAGGCGTGTGTGTGCTAGTCGCATGTCTGGGTATGAGACCCCGTTTGGGACCTGATGGTATTGATGTCTTCATGGTGGAAATGGCAATCAGATTTTTAGAGCGAGCCCGTTCCTTGGATAACGGCCTAGTCAGGAAATGCTTTAATAGGGCTAATGATCTGGAGACTGTTCAGATGTATAGATATTTTTCACCTGTCGATTTGTTGACCCTTAGGGAAGCTGGCCTCCTCTATGAGAGTGCAGACCTCCTATTTTACCATAGAAGAATCCACACTCTGTTCTTACCTCTTGTAAATATCTTTCTATTACCTTTTGTAAATATATTTATTTAAGTTTATAAGTTTTTGTTATTAGACATAAGTTAGTTCGTAAGCTCGGAATTTATCCCTTTTTTAATCCCATTTTTTGGGGAATGGATCGGAAGTGAAAAAATGTTTTAAATAAGTGACATGCATAGCTATATTTTCTGATAATATTGGAAAGTCCATTATTTATACTATAGTATGTAGGAAAATGAATTAATTGTTTTAGTTTTGTAAGATAACCTAAATGTAATTAATTGAATTTTTATGGGAAAATAAACTGAAAGTGATACATTCAGGGGCGGTTCACACAAGAAAGAATCTGCCAATAAAGACTCGGAAATTATTAATGAAATAATTGAAGAGCCGACAGAATTTTACTTGTAGAATCAGTTGTATTTTTGAAACTAACACTAAGTCTTGGGTTGAGTGTTAAATAATAAATCTTTAACGGCTTGTCGGCCCTTACCGTGATTTCGGTCGCCTGTTCTTACAGTGACTTCGGTTATCTGTTCTTACCGTGACTTCGGTCGCCTGTTCTTACCGTGACTTCGGTTGTCAGTTCTTACCGTGACTTCGGTCGTCGGTCTCCATAGGGTAAGAACAAATGTTATATTTAAGATATTTTTTTATAATTAATTATAAGACTCATCGTACGCCGATAACCGATCCTGTCTGAAACTCCAAAGCTAAAGCCGATAAAGCAGCCGAACCGACCGATACATCTTATCGTAGCTATTAACTCATATTATTTATCTGTCAAATTGTATTTTAAAGAATAGAATTCAGTAAAGAGATTATTTAAGTTAACCCCCAGAAAAGGTAAATATATCGTGTTATTATTTAAGGTTTGTGGATCCGTAAGTCGACCCTGGACGCGACTAAGTTACCACGGCCGAAGACAAAACCTCGTTACAACCAATCGGCTCAGAATCACTTACTGAGTCGGTTTAGCTATGTATATCCGTCCATATGTTTGTATGTGTGTCCCTGTAAAGATTGTGCGCACTCTACACAATTTTCAAGATAATTTGATGAAATTCTCCACATACTTTTCTTTTGACCCAAGGACGAAGCCTATCATTTCGCCTAGCCCCATGAACAGAAGGAAATACACGTATGTTCCTGGTGTAAAAAACTAAAATCTTTACATGTACCTGAAAATCAATTACGTTGACGTATGATATGCCCTTGTTTTACTTTATATTTTGGAAAACAAGGTTCCAAATCAATTGAACATAATAACAAAATTATTTTCAATTACTCTTATCTATGCAAAATCCACTTTGTTGGTATTGAAATGTTACGTACGATGGTATGGAATTGCCCATATAAAATCATATTACAATTGTCAAAAGACGTGGGTGGTATAACTTAAGTTATTCTTACGCGATTATATTCTGATTTTATTTATATTTATTTTGGTAAGACGCAAACATTGGGAAATAATTGGCGAATCATTGTTAAGATTCCTTCACAAACAACAAATTCTTTTTATTCAAACAAAATATTGGTTATTAAAGGTCTTATAGGAAATTTGATACAAACAACACAAATATTTAAAGTCATTAATAATAAAAATCTTACTCTACAGGTATTTTATTTGATATTTATTTAGAATTAGGGTAGTATTTTTATGTATTTTTTTCGAAACGTTTGTCGAGGTATTATATTGCCGATAAGAAGTTAGATAGGGTTTAAGTTCCTTGCAAAATGGTCTAAATTTAGAATAGAATTCCTCATAATTATTAATTATTTTATTTAAACTGAAACCAGAAATAGGTTAGAAATGTTTCATGGCTTAATTTTTTTTAAACTTAATACGATTTGACTCAGATTTCTATATTAAGAGAGAGAATAATCGTCCTTAATTTTCTCTAAAAAAAATACCCTAATGTATTCTATTTAAAACACTAAAAATTAAACATGTTTTTAAACCTTCATCATACTTTTTATTTAAACATACTTATGTTTATATCTATATATTTTAGTATCCTTCTAATGAATTGTACATTAATTTATTTGTTTATAAAGATGACATCATCGTTAGACACAACTTCTATAGGAAAGCACATTTCACAGAACTTTTTCAAGCGTAAATAAAAAATAAGTATAACAAAAATAAAATAATTCTTGGGAAAATAATAACAAAAAAAACAACATGTAGATTTTCCAACACCACCCAAAATGGGTGGGTGAAAGTAAAAGTCTAATAAGTAAAATAATCATAACGTAGACGCCATAAAGTCCATTAATAAATTGGCGTCATATAAAGACACATTTGATGTTCTCCAGACGAATTACAAATAGTTGCTGTTGATTTTATCTGATCTCAAGGACACTCTTTAAGTAGGGTTTCTTCCAGAAAATTTCCGAATAATTATTGTTTTGTAAACTCAATAAAAATTAATTAAAATATATTCGAGTTAATTTCTAAAATTAAAATTAATTTTAAGGCCTACTAATTACCACCTGCATTACATTGCAGTAGTTAAGTAATATATGGTTTATGATTTGTTCCTTCACAAACTAAAGAAAACGTCTTAAACTTCGCCAGGACTATTTACTAAAGTTAGCAATTTTGAAAACTCTATTTTTTAGTTCACCTCAATATACTACATTTCTTTATATAGGGTATCAGAAGTGGTGTATGTCTGCAACAAGATACATATTGAAAAGATGACGTCAAAGAATTTATAATGAAATAAACAAAATTATTTCAAAAGAAGAATGTTTCCG